ACTTTATTTCCTTAATTGATGATTTCTCACAAAAAACTTGGGTTTATTTTTTGAAAGGGAAATCCGAGGCATTCGAGGTGTTCAAAAAATTCAAAGTGATGCTGGAAAAGACAATTGGTAGACATATCAAAGTCATACGATCCGATCAAAGTGGCGAGTATACTTCAAGGGCTTTCTTGGAGTATTGTGAGGATCAAGGCATAAGGAGATTTATTACTACACCATACTCTCCTCAACAAAATGGAGTGGCCGAAAGAAAAAATTGAACTATCCTTGACATGGTTCGATCAATGCTCAAGAGCAAAAGGATACCGAAGGATTTTTGGGCGAAAACTATACAATGTGCGATATATATACAAAATTGATGTCTACATGCAAAGCTACATGATCAAACACCTCAAGAGGCATAGAGTGGATAAAAGCCAACGGTGTCTCATCTCAAAGTATTCGGTAGTGTGGCTTATGCACATGGACTGGATCAACAAACAATGAAGCTCGAAGATAAAATAAAAAAGTATGTTTTCATTAGATATGATGAGAAGACAATAGAATACAAGCTGCTCAACCTAATAAGCAAGAAAGTGCTGGTGAGCCGTCATGTGCGAGTAGACAAAACAAACAAGTGGAATTAGAATGATTCGGTAGAGGCTATTCATGGAGTGGGAGAATCATCAATTGCTACACCAACAAGCATGCCAATACATGCTGAAATCGTTGATGATGAAGATGAACCACGGAATCCCGAATGCGAAATGTGCAAGACTTGTATGATTCAACTAATGAGGTACACCTTGTATGTAGGGGTGGGCACGGTTCGGATGTGAGTGAACATTAATTACATAGGGCTTAAGGATAGGTAGGTATCCATCTGTCCGATCCGATAATTGCTTGGCATGGCATGCATTTTATTCTTCTATTTGATGGATTGACGATTGATTGATTGATTGACCTTGTACATACAACATACACAACACAACACTGCTTTTAAATCATAAAACCAAGAAGTTAGTTAGTTCCTTAGCTTCTTCATTTATAGTTATAGATATAGGTATTATGGTATGTATGCATGGATGTCATGTCAAGCAAGGCAAGACAAGGCAAGGGAAGGGGGATTATTACTACAGTATTATTAGATTTGTGGAGTGGAGTGGAGGTGATAAAAAATATGAGATGTGTGATTGATTTTTAAAGATTGATCGAAAAGCACAAAAAATTCAAAACAATTTGAAAATCGATAATTCAAACTAGGACTGGACTGGACTGGACTAACTCATTGATAAAATACTATGACATAAAACAGCAAGTCAAGTATTTGAAACATGAAACGAAATGCAAATAAAAGTAAAAAGATAAAGACAATGGTGGTAGTGCGGTGGCCCAAAAATAACTGGATCAACGGGTAGCTTAATGGCAGTTTTTATTAGAAAATCGCAAAGTAGTGGAACAGTAGTGGCGAGGTCGGGGTTAGGGTTTCCGGTGGTTGGGAAGTCAGTGGATGGTTTAGGGTTTAGGATTTAGGGATTTTTTGGTAAAAACTATATAGCAATGGTTGCGCCCAAAGTGAGCGCCTACGTACCCAAACGGGATAAAGTCATACATAGTTCTGCTGCTGATACAGGCTATACAGTTAATGTCAAACAAAATAGACCAGACAAGCCTAGGTAGTTTAAGTTTCAAAGGCCAAAGGCAACATGCCTAAGACATCAACACCAACCAAGCAATACTAAGCTATCAAGTCTAAGTAATATCAACACTAAGTGTCCCAAAAACAAGTAAGAGGGTGAAGCCTGCTACCTGAAACGGAAAGTCGGGAGACCATCTGCATCCGCTTGAAGGAGACTTATGATCGACGAAGGGATATCTGTCGGGAAAAATGTCCACTCAATCGAAAGAGAACCCGCTAAAGTCACTAAAGCATCCGCGACATAGCTCCCTTCACTACATATATGAGACATATGCCAAATCGCATCTCTAAACACTAAACCATAAATCCTAAGCCCTAAGCCCGGCCAGACGGGCAATGCAGTTTTGGATGGATTTTGATCGAGGTTATTTTCGGCGCCTCCGGCGGCGATACGGCGGTGCGAGTAAGTAGGTTGGGGTTTTTGGCGCTTATGAAGATAATGGCGGTAGTGCGGTGGGCGGAAAATGGTTGGATCAACGGGTAGCTTAATGGCAGTTTTGATCGGAAAATGGCGAAGTTGTGGAACAACAAGGGCGAGGTCGGGGTTAGGGTTTCCGGTGGCTGGGAAGTCGGTGGATGGTTTAGGGTTTAGGGTTCTTTTTAGTAAAAACTATATAGAAATGATTGCACCTAAAATGGGCTGCCTACGTACCAAAAAAGGATCAAGCCATACGTAGTTCTACTGATACAGGCTATACAGTCCAATTCAAACAAAACATACCAGACAAGCCTAGGTAGTCTAAGTACCAAAGGCCAACTGAAACATGCCTAAGGCATCAACACCAACCAAACAATACTAAGCCTATCAAATCTAAGTAATATCACCCTAAGTGTCCCAAATAACAAGTAAGAGAGTGAAGCCTGCTATCTGAAATGGAAAGTTGGGAGACCATTTGCATCCGCTCGAAAGAGACTTTTGATCGACGAAGAGATATCTGTCGGGAGAAGTATCCGCTCAATTAAAAAAAAAACCACCTGAGTCGCTAAGGCATCCACGACACGGTTCCCTTCCATATATATATATATGAGATACCTATCAAATCGCATCTCTAAACCTTAAATCCTAAACCCTAAACCCGGCCGGAGGGGGAATTTTTTGGTGATGCAATTTAGGACGAATTTTGATCGGGGGTATTTCCGGCGCTTTCAGCGGCAATATAACGGTGCGAGTAACTAGGTTGGGGGTTTTTTGGGCTGATGAAGACAATGGCGGTAGTGCGGTAGCCGAAAAATGGCTGGATCAACGCATAGCTTAATGACTGTTTTGATTGGAAAATAGTGAAGTGGTAGAACAGTAGTGGTGAGGTCGGGGTTAGGGTTTCCGGTGGCTAGAAAGTCGGTGGATGGTTTAGGGTTTAAGGTTTAAGGTTTTTTTTGGTAAAAACTATATTGTAATGGCTGCACCCAAACCAGACAAGCCTAGGTATTCTAAATACCAAAGGCCAAAGACAACATGCCTAAGGCATCAACACCAACCAAGAAATACTAAGTCTATCAAGTTTAAGTAATCTCAACACTAAGTGTCCCAAAAAACAAATATGAGGGTGAAGCTTGCTACCTGAAACGGAAAGTGGAGAGACCATCTGCATCCGCTCGAAGGAGACTTTTCATGACGAAGGGATATATGTCGGGATAAGTGTCTGCTCAATCGAAAAAGAAACCGCCAGAGTCGCTAAGGCATCCGCAACACGGTTCCCTTCCCTATATATATAAGATATCTGCCAAGTTGCATCTCTAAACCCTAAACCCGGCCGGAGGGGCAGTTTTCCGGTTATCGGAAAATAGCTAGATTAACGGGTAGTTTAATGGCAGTTTTGATCGGAAAATGACGAAGTGGTGGAACAGTAGTGGCGAGGTCGGGGTTAGGGTTTCCGGTGGTTGAGAAGTCGGTGGATAGTTTAGGGTTTAAAGGTCTTTTGGTAAAAACAATATAGCAATGGTTGCACCCAAAGTGGGTTGCCTGCGTACCAAAATGGGATCAAACCATACGCAGTTCTGTTGATACAAGCTATACAATCAAATAAAAAAAAACCAAACCAGACAAGCCTAAGTAATCTAAGTATCACAAGCCAAAGGCATCAACGTCAACCAAGCAATAATAAGTCTATCAAGTCTAAGTAATTTCAACACTAAGTGTTCCAAAAAAACAAATAAGAGGGTGAAGCTTGCTACCTGAAACGGAAAATCGAGAGACCATCTGCATCTGCTCGAATGAGACTTTTAATCGACGAAGAGATATCTATCGAGAGAAGTGTCCGCTCAATCGAAAGAAAAACTGCTAGAGTCTCTAAGGCATCCGCGACACGGTTCTCTTCCCTATATATATGAGATATCTGCCAAGTTGCATCTCTAAACCCTAAACCCTAAATCCTTAACCCTAAACCCGGCCGGAGGGGCACTATTCCGGTGATGCAGTTTTGGACGAAGTTTGATCAGGGGTATTTCTGGCGCCTCTGGCGGCGATATGGCAAAGCAAGTCACCAGGTTGGGGGTTTTTTGGGCTGATGAAAACAATGGCGGTAGTGCGGTAGCCAGAAAATGGCTGGATCAACGGGTAACTTAATGGCGGTTTTGATCAGAAAATACGAAGTGGTGGAACAGTAGTGGCAAGCTCGAGGTTTGGGTTTCCGGTGGCTGGGAAGTCGGTGGATAGTTTAGGGTTTAGAATTTAGGGTGTTTTTGGTAAATACTATATAGCAATGGCTGCACCCAGAGTGGGCTGCCTACGTACCCAAATGGGATCAAGCCATACGTAGTTCTACTGATACAAGCTATACAGTCAAAGTCAAACAAAACAGACCAGACAAGCCTAGGTAATCTAAGTATCAAAGGCCAAAGGCAACATGCCTAAGACATCAACACCAACCAAGCAATACTAAGCCTATCAAGTATAAGTAATATCAACACTAAGTGTCCCAAAAAAAAAATAAAGGGATGAAGCCTGCTATCTGAAACGGAAAGGCGAGAGACCATCTGCATCCGCTCGAAGGAGACTTTTGATCGATGAAGGAATATCTGTCGGGAGAAGTGTCCGCTCAATCGAAAGAGAAACCGCCAGCATCGCTAAGGCATCCGCGATACGGTACTCTTCCCTATATATATGAGATATCTATCAAGTCGCATCTTTAAAGCCTAAACCCGGCCATGGGGCAGTTTTTCGGCAATGTAGTTTTGGACGGATTTTAATAGGGGGTATATTCGACGCCTTCGGCGGCGATACGAAAAAGCGAGTAACCAGGTTGGAGGTTTTTGGGGCTGATGAAGACAATGGCGGTAGTGTGGTGGCCGCAAAATGGTTGGATCAACGTGTAGCGTAATGGCGATTTTGATCAGAAAATGGCATAGTGGTGACGATGTTGGGGTTAGGGTTTCCGGCAGTTGGAAAGTCGGTGAATGGTTTAGGGTTTAAGATCTTTTGGCTGCACCCAAAGTAAGCTGCCTACGTACCCAAACGGGATCAAGCCATACGTAGTTCTTCTGGTACAAGCTATACAGTCAAAGTCAAACAAAACAGACCAGACAAGCCTAGGTAGTCTAAGTATCAAAGGCCAAAGGCAACATGCCTAAACATCAATACCAACCAAGCAATACTAACCCTATCAAGTTTAATTAATATCAATACTTAGTGTCCCAAAAAACAAGAAGGTGAAGCCTGCTACCAGAAACGGAAAGTTGGGAAACCATCTGCATCCGCTCGAACGAGACTTTTGATCGACAAAGAGATAGTTGTTGGGAGAAACAGACACAATGATTGTAACTCTCTGAATCAGTATAATAAAATTTCTGCGGTTCCTGCCCGTGGACGTAGGTTGACACATCGTCACCGAACAACATAAAACCTCTGTATTTTCTATTTGCTTTTTTTTTTTAGTTTTCTCGTAACAGAGACATGCCTTTCTTGTTCACTGTGAATGATATATACTTCTTTGGGCCATGTTAGGCTACTTGTGTCACAAATTAGGAAGCTTCAAATACATCTGAATGTTAGACTCTTAGATTTGAAAATAGTAGTGCTTTGAAATGTATGATGTATGATGCTGTATCCCTTTGGTGAGTCGAAATGTGGCATGCAAGTGTGATCGGCAGATATCTAATTGTCGAAAGATCCACAGAATGGCTGAATACTAATTAGGTGAAACATTCTGTCATCTGGCTTCTTCTATGCTTCAGTGCTTTAGTTCACATTCCTTAAAAACATTCTAGCAGGTTAAATGAGATCGTGATGGATCACTACCCTATTGATTGGGCTTTCAAATTCTTTACAAGTTTAGTACCATCTAACTGGCATTCTTCAGTTTACCTGGAACACCTGGTTGTCTACCCTTGATGGTTATTTTCTTTTATTCAGAGATCAAATCTTCATGCTCGGTTCTTTAAAGTCTTGCTCTGTGCCATTTTGTCTTTATTTTATATGATTGTGCATTTTATCTCGACCCTTTCTTTCTCAAGTTAAAGAGTTGCTGAGAGTGGAAACTAAATGGTCTGAGCTCAAGTTTGATGAGCTTTCAATATACAAGCTCAATCTTCAATTCCGTAGTAGTCGAGATTGCACCGGAGGCTTTGCAAATTCAGATGGGTATTTTTATGCTTATATAAATAGTAAATTGTCTATGTATATTTTTTAAATACCCAGTCCAAAATTTTCATATATTATTAATCATTGTGTTTGCCAAAAGCATTCATAGAGTCCTATATTTTTGCATAAAATGGGGTTTTTGTGTATATTCTTTTCTATCATAAAGGTGAATTATATAGTAAAATTTACAAATAGTATCTTTTGCTGTTATGCTTAAACAATGTACTACATGTGATATATAATGTGCCCCTAACCAAATAAATTAGTTTCCCTCATATATAATTGAAATATTAATAATGTATTTCATAACCCCTCTATCTCTCTATATATATGTGTAATTATATATAGATCACGTATGAGTCAACGAGCTTAGTATCTCCTGACTCAAGTGGCTCACGGCTTGCTTGATTCATTTGGTACTAACCCTGCCTGAACACTGTGAATGTATTAAGGAAAGCGTGTGCCTAACTTTTTCTAATATTATTCAGTTTTTGTGAAGATGCCTTTCCTTTTCTGTACAATGTGAGATGTTTGGCTTTGTTTTCTTTTCTTGAGAATGTATATGTGTGTGTATATATACATATATAACATTTTTGAGTTTTTAATATGATGTTGATGGTGACAGTATCGGCAAATGAGGCGGAAAGAACAAGATCGACTTGCAAGGATGGATGCTGACTTCCGGGAAAGAAAGGAGCTGGGTGAGTTTGCTCAGCGAAGGGAAGAAAGATTGAAGGCTGCCGAGGAGCGTACAGCCAAGAAGTGTCTGAAACGACAAAAGAAGAAACAGAGGAAAAAGAAGAAAATGAGTAAACCCGAAAATGGCGGACTTGAGTACAACAAAGAACAACAACAATCTTCAGACGATGATGGTGAATCTGACAAATAGAAATGTGTTGAGACAAAGCTTGTGCGCAAATCTCTTTCTTGCATATCGGATTGTAGGGAAGCAAGCCATACCGTTTTGAACTTGCTGGATTGTATAGTAACCTTGGAATGTTGTACATAGTTTGATGCTATTAATGCTATTTCTTGAACACGGGTCCTAAGATATTTTTGTTTTATATGACAAGGCTTGTTCAAAGTTGTTAGTTGGAACTGATTATATGACTATGCTTGTTCAATGTGTTTTCATTTTCTCTACAGTGGCTGACCTGTTGCTGTGGAAGAAAGGCTACTTCTCTGTGGTTCATATTCGAAACAGCTGGATACAATTTACAGTCATTCATTTCAATTGCTTTCTTCTTCCTCTGGCAAAATCTGCAGCGCTTCTCGTAGGTAGATGGAATTCCTTAATGGTTGTCTGTTAAAAAATATTGATGGATAATTTCAGTGCTTCGATCTAGCGGCTGCCCTGCTTTTTAGTTTCTGTATTGCATAAAATCTGACCGACTGAATTATCTCATGGTTTTAGGACTCTGGCACCACTCCCTAATCTTGAGGTTTCTGTGGAGGTAATGGTGAGGGCTGCTGAGGAATCCTGACTGTGGGTAGACGATGCACTGTCACTTGCACATGACATTGCCATTGGTGGAAACTTGAGACTTGCCGCTCAGGTGTTTCTTTTCTTTAGCTGAATGGATGTTTAATTGATGTTATCTGCATGATTAATTGAAGAGTTAATTAATGATGTTGTTTTTGTTAGCTTGCTATAGGCTTGTGGTTCATTTCCTACATAATTCTTGTCTTTCTACTTACTTGATAGAATCAGGAGTTGTGCTTAGTCTCTCTCTCTCTCCCTCTATGACAATTACCAGGATTTCATCGACAAAAACTGCATATTGATGCAAATACATATGGCATAATAGTCCAGATGAGAAGATCCAGTGGATTCACAGTCATTCCACCGCTTTCATTCACTCAAGTAATGTTTTATCACTTTTCCAGTCCGTTGCATATTTGTGATGTGCTCGATGAACACCTTTATGATTGTGATTAATATTTTGCCTTAGTCTTCTCTTTGAGATGTGCTGTTTGGTCCCATCACTTTATGGCTGGTGTAAAACACTGGGAATATAAAAAATACTTGTATGATGACATGGAAGAACAACAAGGGAGGATAAAGTATTCTTAATAAGTAAGTTCACTAGCAGCAATGTTGTGGAGTGGGTATTATTATTAGCGGATTTCTCTTAGCTTAGCATTTGTTGGCTGATGTACTGATTAGGTTTGGTTTCCCCTAAACTATACCAAACTAAATTAGAAAGATGTTTAATTGGATGAGATTAGGGGTGGGCAAACACACACCTTAGGACGCACAGCCAGACGGAGGACCAGTGGTTCAGAGAGAGAGAGTGAGGAGTAAAGAGGACGCAAACCCTGGTGGTGAGCGGTGCAAAGAGAGTGATGAGTAAAAGAGGACTCACTGACGAGCGGTGCATAGAAAAAGAGGAGTACCCTTCCCCTTTCCGAGCATTTATAAATAGACATGATTTTGCAATATTCAATTGCGAATATCATCATACAATATATACATTTTAAGATTAATCGTGATTTTTTTCGGGCTTTGAAGACGTATGTCGTGATTTACTTAGTATAGATGTCTGGTGCCGTATTGAAACTATTTCCGGAAGAGACCGAGCTAGAGTTGACATTATTGTGTGATTTTTTGAACCCCATCCAACTCCAAACACAAGTAATGGTAGAAACCTGCAACAAGTTACACGAATAGAAAATGGGTTGGATCCATATCGTGGCGGAAAGACAGAATCTACATGTGATGGTTTTATAGAAACATAGAATTGCCACTCTCGTCTCGATGAAAACGAAATAGAATATGATACATACAATGGAATTATGAGAATCATGGTTCCTAAAAACAAAAATACCATGGTAAAACCAATTCGTATCGTCGATGAGGAGGAAGAGGAGAAGAAGCTGAAGGAGGCAAAGAAGAAAAATGATAAAGGACAAGCAGCAGGAAGATGAGGAGAGGAAGAAGAAAGACAAGCAGAAGGATGATGAGAATAAGAAAAAGGTCTCCTCTTTCCTAGCAGTATAATGACTTTTTAGAATCATCTATCTATCTATCTGATTATATTCCTATCCTTATTGATTAATTATTTTTTAGGATCACCCATCTATCTAATTATGTTCCTATCCTCATCCTTATTGATTAATGACTTTTTAGGATCATCCATCTATCTGATTATATGTTGTTTGTTGGATCGCATTAAAATTTAATATGTACTCGCGCTGCTTTGTTTTTTGGTGAAATATTCTATATGTTACATTATTATTATTGTCTAATTATAGTAAGTAAATTAAACTACATTGCTATCGTATTATTGCTTTCTTCTATATAGTTTTTACATAGTAACAGAGGCATACAAAAATAATGTTCATTTAAATACTATTTTGATTTAAAATTTTATTAAAAAATGATACATATATATATTTAACTGAAACTTTCGAAAGGGATTGAACAGAAATAGAGAGGCAGCATGCCTGTGTGCGTGTGGCAATTTTAGTTTTTTGTTGCTTAGCTAAGTTGTTTGCTGAATTTCAACATTTTGCTCGACTATAAGAATCCCTATTTTCTGTATCAATACAATATTCATTGTTGTTATATTAAAATGCAACTTTTTCTTACGAATGTTGTCTTCTGCAGGGTCGATGATGCCCGATGTATTCTTTTGGCTTTGAGTTGTATGTATCAAATTGATTTTTTTTTATTGTGGTGGTGGTGTTTGTGAGCAATAGTTTTCCCTGACAAATAAAGAATTTTGATGGACTATGATCACCAAACAACTACTACGTTTTAATGAGTTAGTATTATCCTTTGACTTATTCTATACTGTCATTCTGTTTTTGGCTTCTTGGCTTCTCTTTCCCATTGGCATTATTAACTTTCTGTTTGTTTTAACCAAATTATGTGTTGAATAAACTTAGATGTAATTTTAATTGGGTGTTAAATTGGGTGATTAGTGAATATATAATGCATGAGAGTGTGGTTAGTGGATATTAAAAATAAATAATGGGTATGGTAGAGGTTATACTAGAATAATTCCATTTATGTTAGGATTAATTGTGGTTTTAATTTGTGAAGTATCCAATGTCTTTTGTGTGCTTTAAAATGTAGTCTGTTGGTGTATTTTTTAGTGCGTAATGTAAGGATTAATTTGAGAGGAAAATACAAGTGTTTTTGTCTTCATGCATGTGTTAGTGCGTTGATGTATTTTGTCTCCATAATTTTGTATTTCCATTGGTGTGTGATCTTAAGAGCCGATGGCAAATGTGATGGGTCATATTTCCTTACCACGTTTGGCGAAGGCAAATTACGAGAATTTGACTATTCAAATGAAAGCACTTCTTGGATCTCAAGATGCATAGGAGATAGTTCAGGAAGGTTTCGAAGAACCGACGAGTAATGCGGGATATACGGCGGCTCAACAAAAAGCGTTGAAAAAGATGGGATCAAAGGATAAGGCTGCATTGTACTTTTTCCAAGTTGTTGATGAGTCGGGCTTTGAGAACATTTCCGGTGCAATAAATTCAAAAAAACGTGGAACATTTTAGAAAGAACATTCAAAGGAACCGACCGTGTCAAGCAAGTGCACCTCCAAACTCTTCATGGCGAGTTGGAAAACATGAAGATGAAGGAGTCTGAAAGTGTGTCCGACTTGTGTGCAATCTGTGGTCAACCAGCTCATTTGTAACGGAGAAAATTTAACCGATGTGCGAGTTGTTGAAAATATTTTAAGATCATTAACAGATAACTTCAAAAATATTGTGTGTGCAATAAAAGAGTCAAAAGACCTTGCGACGCTCTCGGAAGATGAACTTTCTGGTTCTCTCGAGGCACACAAACAACGAAAAAGAGGAGACACTTGAGCAAGTGCTTCAAACCAAGGCAACACTTAAAGAAGATAAGGTACTCTATCTCAAAATTTCCGAAGAAAAGGGTGCGGACGTGGAGTTTGTGGAAGTGGTCATGATGGTCGAGACAACAGTCATGGAGACGGACAATCAAGCCAACCAAATTGGTGGGGTAGAGGACATGGTCGAAGAAGAGGCGGTCGATCGAACAATTATAGCATTGAGTGCTACAAGTGTCATAGGTATGGTCACTATGCAAAGGATTGAATTTTGATAAATGTTATAATTGTGGTAGAGTGGGGCATTTTGCAAAATATTGTCGATCCGGAAAAAAGATAGAAGAACCGACCAACCTAGCCATGGAAGATGAAGACAAAGAAGACTTCTCTTGATGGCTTAAAATGAAGCAACATCATAAATGACACTTTGTGGTACCTCGACTCGGGGGCGAACAGCCACATGTGTGGACACAAGCACCTATTCAAGGAGATGCAAAAAATTGAAGATAGTTACGTGTCGTTTTGAGATGCATCTAAAGTGGAGGTCAAAAGATAAGGTACAGTTCGTTACTTACAAAATGATGGTTTAATTGGGTCAATCCAAGATGTTTATTATGTCCCAAATCTTAAAACCAACATTCTAAGTATGGGGCAACTCACGGAAAAAGGCTACTCGAACTATCGGGTGCTATACTTGAAGGACAAAAAAAAGGCGTTTGAAGCTGAATATGTGGCAACATCTTGGTGCGTATGTCATGTCATACGATATGGCTAAGGAATTTGTTGAGCAAGATGGAATTGAAGCAACCACGTGCAACTATGATTCAAGTTAACAACAAATCAGTGATTGAGTTAACAAAGACTCCGGTGAACCATGAAAGAATTAAGCATATCGATATTCGCTTTCATTTTATCCAATATCAAGTGAAGGAAGAAAGTGTGGAATTGATGCGTGTGTCAAGTCAAGATCAAGTTTCAGATATATTTACAAAACCACTACCGAAGAAACTTCTCAACAATTGCAAGAAAATGATTGGCATGATGGATGGTCGAAGCATTTAAGTTTATGGGG